TTCCAAAAACAGATTGAAATAAAGAAAGAACTGGATCTCTGAACAAAGAGATAGGGTACAATATATAATTTGAGCCATTGATCTTTAGGCTTTCAAATGTCATCATGGGAATAATGAACATATACAGAAATCACTACTCAACAGTAGTTAACTCTTTACATTTCAGTAATAAAATACAGCGTATTCTGTATGTAGTAGGTTGACCCATGGGCAAGTTTGGGGAGAGGGGGGTGTCAATATGTTAAAAGCTGACTTGACCTGTGGATAAGTCGAAAGTAAAATTTGGGAAACAAAACAAAGCTCCTCAGATACATCCCATGGAGAGGCAAAAGGGCCCTCACCATCCCAGGGAGCTAGCTGCCTCTGGCTGTTGCCGTTTTCTTGCCCAGACATTCAAAAAGGCCTTTCATCACTTTACCACTCTAAAAGAAGTACCAAAGGTACTTTACTCTTTCCAGCAGTCTTTTGCAAGGCCTAGGGGCAGGGAGGAAATTATTACACTGGCAGTTCTTTGTTGCTTTCCCACCACACCAGAAAAGAGTTTTCTCCTACAATATGCAATAGCCCCAAAAGAGCCACCAACGACAGTTGAGGGAGATGTTGCTTCCTTCAGCTGCTCCCAGCATAGACTAAACTCTCAGACTCTCTGAGCTTACTCCATTGAAAGAAGTCCCCACCCAGTCTGCTCCTTTAGCTGAAAGGCTAAGGCACTGCCTGCTACTCCTGTCCTTCTGAATGAGCTGTGGTCAAACTTCTGCCTCCCATGAGCCTGCTTGATTGTAGCTTGGCAGGAAGGAGGACAGGTCTAGGTTTGTCTCCCCAAACCCTATATTGCTTTCTTTATCAGAAACGGTCACAGTTCCCCTACTTGTGTATAGGTGCACGTGCCAGGTCCAAATCCATTCCTTAGCAACACTCGGCAATGCTGAGCACCGGAATCGCCATCGGGCTTGAGAAAGGCGGGATAGAAATATCATAAATAAATAATAACTAAACTGTGCATTCTCACGGCTTGCTTGTGGACCACCAGCCACTGCCTTGCACAGCACCTTGCTCCTTCTTTGGTCTGTTTTTTCTTCTGGCTTTCTTCATCAAATTATTGAGAAGGGCACTTCTTGACTAAATATTCATTCACCTGGACCAGGAAGAAAAGCTTCCCATCCTACCTCTTCTCAATTTCATCTTAAGTTCTTGAAATAACCAAGGAGCAACTACTCTGCCATGACAGGAAAGGGCCAAAAAACCACCACAAGGAGAAATGCCACAGTTAATATGCTAACCCATGTATAGGCAGTTCCCAAGTTAGAAACAAGATAGGTTCTGTAGGTTCGTTCTAAAGTTGAATTTGTTCGTAAGTCGGAACAGGTCCAGCAAAAAGTGCACTCTTTGTAATTTGGCCAAAAAAGGTGCACATTATAGTTCCTGTGTGAGGAGATTATCTTTTTTAAAACACCAAAGATTCCAACCAATGGAAAGGAAAAAAACCATCAAAATAGATAACCCTTCCATTTCCTGTTTATCCTGACCCAGCTTCCTTGGGGTGTGCTTATGCTATGAAATGAATGAAGTTTGACACCACTTTAACTACACTGGTTCATTGCTATGGGATCCTGGGAGCTATAGTTTTACAAGATCTTTAGCCTTCTCTGCCAAAGAATACTGCTGCCTCACCAAACTACAAATCCCAACAATGCATAGCATTGAGCCAGGGCAATTAAAAATGGTGTCAGACATGATGGGGAGGAGAGGAGAGGTAGAGAATTACAGGGAGGATGAAGGAGATACCGATAGGAAGAAAAAGAAAAGAGAGTGGAGAGATCAATAGGAAGAAGAAGGAAGAGGGGTTTGGAGAGATCAATAGAAAGAAAGAGGGAAAGGGGTTTGGAGACAGGGAAAAAAGGAAAGGGGAGAGATCAAGAGGAAGAAAGAGGAAAAGGGGTTTGGAGAGATTGAAAGGAAAAACATGGAAAGGGGTTTTTGAGATCTATAGGAAAAAAGGGAGTTTGGAGAGATTCATAAGAAGTGGGGTTGGAGAGATACTGATAGAAAGAAAAAGGAAAGGGGTGGAAAGATACAGGCACACTTTGGCTCAGCGCTAAGATTTCATGGCGGGGGGGGGGAGGGGGGGGAGGGGAGAGGCCCGGTCGTAACTATGAGTTGTTTGTACATTGGATGTTTATAACTTGAGGATGGCCTGTATAAGTAAACTCGGGTTTTTTAATCATCTTTTGGGTAGCTACAGTAGGTTACTTTGATATTATTTGTATAGATGAAGAACAGGGTACTGTTTTTCCTCTGGGTTTTACTGAAGCTAAGAAGAAAACAGCAATTCTACCATACACCATTACATAAAAGAAGACTGGAGGTATGCGTACACAAGTTTTGTCCAGAATACATGGCAGTTATATACTATTCCTTAACTGTATTATTTCTCTCAAGCACCCAAGGGAAACAGGAATGAACCACCACAGAATCTTCCTGTAGTGATTGAATACTAAAATACAGCTGGTCAAAAGTGAATCATACATTGATTGGAGCACATCCAGGTATGAACCAGCAGTAAAGTGCCACTGCAAATGCACCAAATGACATCTTATGTCACTGTTGTGAAAACTGAAGATTGTATAATGCTTGGTCATGTTCTATGATATATATATGTAAGAAAATCTTCAAATAAAAAAATCACAAGATTAGCTAACATATATTATTTATTCATTGAAATGTAAAATATGCATCTGCACTAAAATTAAGTAATACTCCCTAAAACAAGAAGTACGCTTCCATGTCTACTAAACTGCAAGAGCAGAAATTACATGATCATTCCCTATACAGTATATAAATTAGAAGTTACTGATACTATGACATTGCATGTACTGGTAAACATGTGCGCTCAAACCATAGCATATAGCTTATTAACTATGCTAGGTCATTGTCGCCTTCATGAGAAACACATGTGAAAGTAAATAATTTGTGTACAACAGAGTTGCATGGGAATAGATAACAACACAATTTGTTATAGAGGTGCAGCTCCAAAATGTCAGCTAGTTTTGGTTTTCTGTAGATTTATCCAACAGAAAACATATTGGATTTGGATTTGAGTCTCCATGATTGCAGCATCTGTTGTAAACCCTACATTTACTGACTGCACAGTCAACTTATATAGTAATCTGACAAGTCAAATCTCCCAAAATCACTTTCCCGCTGTCTTAGGAATTAGTGATTTCTCCCAATAGTGAACATATGTTCAAGAAAGTTATTAATGTATTTTTCATATAAGGAAAGTAATCGATAAACAGTAATAAAATTGAAGAAAATAAACATCATGACTGAGACATACTATAGGAAGAGAACAATCTTTTGCTAGTAATGAAACTAACTGCCCTAACCAATCAGTAGAAACAAATCAGTCCAACAACCTATCTTAAAAGGCAGTATATGAATTTGAGGACAGCAGGATATAACACAACCCAGACTTAACAATCTCACATACATAACTTTTTAAAAGAAGAAACAAACAGACACCTACATGCAAAGCAAAGTAATAATGATGATGATGATAACTATTTTATTCTTATATCCCACCACTATCTCCCCAAAGGGACTTGGGGCAGCTTACAGATGGCACAAACAAACATAAAAGTAAACACAACGTAAAATACAATACAATAAAACAATGGACATATAAAAACATCAATTCAGACTCAATCAAGCTGCAATCCTCTAACCGTGGAGGTAAATTGCTGGCAGCGTAGCCAGGCTGTAAACACTGGAATAAAATAAGTGCCATCCACGAAGAGTCGAGAACTGCCTCCAACACCAACATCTCCAATAAAAATAGTGCAATATATTGTGGCTGGTTTGAGATGGCATTTTGTAGTTACACAAAATGGAACTTGTGCAATTGACCCTCAAAAGTAAACCCCATTAGTAAATTCATTTGAAACCCTACTTTCAAATGAACAGGTGCAGAATTGTGCTACTAATTCCCATCTCCTTAACTACCCCATGTCATAGACTAGGGTGGGAATCATAGTACCTTCCAGATGTTGTAGGGCCTCAGCTAGCATCACGCCTAGATTTGTGCTTCAACACCTGGAGGCCCACAAGACCCTATTTCTCAGTGGTTCTCAACCTGTGGGTCCACAGATGGTTTGGCCTACAATTCCTAGAAATCCCAACCAGCTTACCAGCTGTTTGGATTTCCAGGAGCGGAAGGCCAAAACATCTGGGGTCCCGCAGGTTGAGAACCATTGCTATTGCCAGAAGAGACAGCTGGATTCACTGATTAATGCATGATGTTCACCTCAAGCAGGGATGATGAAGAGGATGTGTGAGCGGAGCAGGAGGGGAAATGGCTTTCCTGGAAGTCTTTCTCCTCGCCAAAAAAGGAGACCTTGCCCATCGCATCCTCCGGACCTTAAAACAAGGGTCCACAACCGTAAGCCAATGCTGAGATTCGCAATTCAACATCTGGATGCCCACTATGGCCAGCAGAGACAGTTCCCTGCACTGAGGATTGCAAGATGCTCACCTCCAGAAAGCGCCATATGCCTAGCCCGTGAAAAAGATGGGTGCAAGTGGCGGGGGAAGGGGGGGGGGTGGCTCGGGAGAGGCTGCTGGCCCAAGGAGGAGGCCTGGCCCTTCACGAACAAGGGCCAAAAACCCTCTCCGGGGCCAAGCCGCATCCCAAGCCTCTTCTCCTGGCCAAAGAGCAGGCGAGGCGGAGGGGAGTGCGGCCCCCGAGGGGGGAATGGGCAAGGCGGGGGGGGGGGGGGGGGGGGGGGGGGGGGGGGGGTAAAGGTCGCCCCGATCTCCGAGGCCTCGTCGGGCGAGTCCCAGGCCAGGAATGGCTCTAGGCGGGGGCGCAGGCCGAGGCGGATGGTCGTAGCCACCGCCACCGCCCCCCTCAAGGTGGCTCGGCCCCCCTCCCCTCCTCCCCGCAGAAATCCCGCTCGCTCCTCGGCCGCACCGTCGGCGGCGCCTCCTTCGGCCTGCCTCACCTCCGCGACACCCGCTCAGGGAGGCGCACTCGTTGGCGGCGGCGGCAGCGGCGCTCGTTCCCTCCAGAGGCTCCCCAGACTCTCCAGCCGCAATGGCCTCCCTCAGTCTCTCACAGGCCGCACCAGGCCCCGATCTACTGACGGACACCCGCGCGGCCAATCCGCGCTGAGGACCTCCCAGGCTCGACCAACCAGCCCTCGGAGGCGGGGCTTAAAGGCCACTATATATGGCGGGAGGCGCTCGCGCGCCTTCCTGTGTCAGCAAGGGAGGGGAAGGAAGCAGGGAGGGGACGAGGGAAGCTTTTCAGCTCATGTCATCTGCTTGTGAATTTGACACTCTCCCTCACTGTCGCGTTCCGGAGTCCTATGATGATGATGATGATGATGATGTTTATTATTGTTATTATTATTATATTATTGACACAAAAGAACAGTATGTCACAGCAAACGAGATCTATATGCTGGATTTCGTATGACAAAATCACAAGTTGAACACTTCTCAAGCGTCTAGGACTATTATTATTATTGTTATTATTATTATAAACACAACAAGATGAGTCCATAGCAGGCACTCTGCTGGCTGTTGAATTGGATCACACCTCAGACTCTTCCTAAGTGTCTATTATTATTATTATTATACAGACAAAAACACAGTATGTCACAGCAAATGAGAGCTATATGCTGGACTTCATATCACAAAATCACAAGTCGAACACTTCCCAATTATTATTATTATTATTATAATTATTATTATTAGAAACACAACAAGATGAATCCACAGCAGACAAGATTACTCTGCTGTCTGTTGAATTGGATCACACGTCGGACACTTCCCAAGTGTCTAGGACTGTGTGATGTATCAGCAAATAATCTGTGCAGATCCCAGTAGGGTGCCCCTCTGCAGCTGGCCGATGGTAATTTTGTCAGCGCCAATTGTGTTTAAGTGCAGGCCAAGGTCTTTAGGCACTGCACCCAGTGTGTCGATCATCACTGGGACCACCTTGACTGGCTTGTGCCAGAGTCTTTGCAGTTCAATCTTTAAATATTTGGCAGTGTGGACTTAGATAACTCAATTCAAAGCAGATGTTGTGGGTTATTTTGCCTTGATATTCTAAGTTATATGGTTGTGTGGAAGGGCAGGAAGGAAAACATAATCAATATTAGTTATCAAAATACTTGAAGGGAAAAACTGAGAGGAACATGTTTTCTTCTTTCTGTCTGTACTCATATGTACAAACCAAAAGGACTTTCCAAAGCCAGTGAGGCACCAATTAATAGATGTTTATTATGAGTTGGATCCTACTTCAGTATACCTGCAGCACATGATGTTTAAATGGATGCATCTTAGTTTTGGCTAATTGGAGTGCTCCTGGTCCACTTTTTCCATCTTGATACAATCCTGGTCAGTGTCAGCATATAAATCAAATTGTAGTTCAAAAAGTGGTATGTCATGGGCAAGGAAAAACAGCTGACTCAAGCACTATGATTGTAAATAGAAAAAAGCACCCCCAACAATGAGATAAATCTGCCTTGACCTAGCAATGAGATACATATTTAAAGTGGCAGTTTGATCACTCTGTCCTCATTTCAATTAAATGTGTTAATTGTAACTGTGTGTTTTTTTAAAGGAATTTTATTAAATTTTATATAGAATACAACGAAAGAGTGAGAACAATTAGGTATAGAAAAGTAAAGAAAAAAGAGAGAGGGAAAGGCCAATAAAGTAAGAAGTAAAAAAAGATATCCTAAATAAAACCCTACAAAATCCACATACAAAAAAAATAGAAAAATAAAAATAAAGAAAAAAAGTGACTTCCATTTCCATCTTCTTGGATAAAATATTCTTGTTATTCAAAAATATATTTTTTTATTAAAGATAATAAAATTCTCTCTCTTTTTTTTATATTCGCAAATTGTCCAGATAGTCATGAAGATTGTCCCAATTCGTTCTTTTTATTATCATGCCTGTATTTTTCTTCAACAAAAAAGTCAGTTCGTCCATGTCCTTTATTTCTCTGATTTTTTCCACCCAATCCTGTACGGGTGGTACTGTGCCTTGCTTCCACTCTCTAGCAAAAACAATTCTAGCAGTGGTCGTTGTATATGTAAAAAGTTTGTCCTCTTGTTCCGTCAAAGATTTCAGGGTAAGGTTTGAGCCAACCAGTTTTTGTGCAAATTTTATAGTTGAAGGCCATTCACAATTGCCATTCTCAATAGAGGGAGAACATGATGAAGGGCAAGCATGTAGATTTATAGGGTTTATGCTGATTTGAAGGCATAGGACTGGAGAAATGGCACATGGTGCCTTGTATGGCCAACTCATCTCTGTTTCCCACAATAGTGTCCTAATGGCTCACTGACAATTCTATAAGGAGTAAAAGTAATAGCTCTCTCCTATTAATTCCCAGCAAATGGTGCTTCCCTGAAGTTGATAGTTTCAAACAACATACCATTACTTGGGGCCATGCATAAGACATATCTATTTGTGTAATTCCCTTTCAAAGTTATGCAAGCTAGTGGTAATTACATCTTGTGGCAGGTAATTTTATCAATTAACTGTGATTTGTATGAAGATATTTGCCAGGAAGATTCAGAATTCTAGTGTAGGAAAGAAACATCTAATTTGCCCCTGTATATAGGTACTTATATTTCAACCGTGGCTTGCTATCTATCCCTATACAATCATACACAGCAGATGCCACCCTAAACACAAGAATCCAAAGGTGGCATAGACAAACACAATTTAAGACAGACTATATTGTATGGTTATACTTTTTAGAACAGGCAATTTAAAATAAGTGAGAATCACCTGAAACTTTGCAAATGATAAAATTGAATTAAAATCAAGTTGACTTCAAAGGGTTTAATAAAAAAAATGTGCTTACTCAGTGCCAGAATGCCTTGTATCAATGTTGGATACCCAATGGATCTCTGAGGGAAGGATATTCCACAATTTGTGAATATCCGTCCTATCATACATGCCTGCCCTCTTTTAGTTTGGGATGCAAAGGCTGCCTTTTTTTTTAAAGGATGTTTATGTACACAATTCTTTTGGGGCAATTAGTACTTCAGTTTTCAATAAGATAGACAGGTTAGAATATTTGTATACAAGAGCACAGAGGCATCACAAAGCTCCTTTCTTGCCCAACTTCATCCTTTTATATCTTTTCCATAACTAGCTACCACCTTAATATTTCTGGCTATTGGTTTTTGTTGTGTATTGTCTGAGCTTTAAGGCTGATGTTTTTATACCCATTTATTTGTGTTTTATCTGATTATGTTTTGTTTTGGTATGTTTTATTTTAATTGTATTTTGTTTTTAATGGATTGTTTTGCTTTTATGTTTTTGCCTTATGTACTGAGTCATGCCAGCCGCATGACCTTGGAGGTGTCTACGGACAACGCCGGCTCTTCGGCTTAGAAATAGAGATGACCACCACACCCCAGAGTCGGACACGACTGGACTTAATGTCAGGGGAAAACCTTTACCTACTGTGGACGTTTTGTCCCATGTCTAAGCAGCCCTGAGTCCCTTTGGGGAGATGGAGGCAGGGTATAAAAAGTTATTATTACCACACACTAAATTGATAGTGTCATTGAGCTATACAGTTGTTTCTGTTTCCTTGAATTCTTTATCCATAGATTCAATCATCCACGGGCTTGTAAATATCCCTGCCCGCCCCCAAAAAACAAACCTTGATTTTGCCATTTTGTTTAAGACATTAATTTACCATAACATTGTTTATAATGGTACTTGAGCATCCATGGATTTTAGTATCCAAAGAGTGTCCTGGAACCAAACCCCAGCTAATACAAAGGGCCAATTGAACTCATATTGAGATATACTCGTTGAACCACCTCAACATCTCTTTATAGGTGAAACCCCAGCTGCTCAGACCTTTTCACTGTCACTGGTGATTTCAGACTTTTAAAATGTTAAGCTTTTCTTCTCTGTAGAGCCCTATCCTAAACTACAATTTTGAATACCGCTAAAGCAAGATCCAGGGCCCACTTTTCCATGCCTAAGACCTCTGTGTACTCCTTTCCCCACAAATTTGGTCCCACAAGCTTGGCTGTGAGACCAAGCTTTCAGGATGATGCAATAAAGCAGCAATAGGAAACCTTACCAGGCCAATTAGATTGGACGCAGATGATCAAGACAGTTTTAAACAGTGTATTTTAATATTTAGACAAATGTTTTTAATGTTTATGTATGCATATAATGAATTCTTATCCTGGCATTGAATGTTTGCCGTATTTATGCTGTGCTCCGCCCTGAGTCCTCTTCCTGGTTAGAAGGGTGGAATATAAATGTTTTAAATAATAAATAAATAATAAACACCAAACAAACTGGTCTAAGCATCAAATTTTCTAACACCTTTGACTTTTCAAAAGGCACAGGGGAGGCTAACCTTGTTTAAAAGGGAAAACCACAGTTCCAGGTATAGCAGTTTCAGAAGGGGGATTTTTTCCCTTTGCTTATTTATTTACAGTATTTATATACTGCTTTTCTCACCCCTGGGGGGACTCAAAGCGGGTTACACAGAAATAATGGCAAAATTCAATGTCTTACATACATAAACCAAATCACAAATCAACACCATATAATTAATCATAAAATTAATAGGACAATTTACTATAAGATAAGGAAAAAAAGACATTTAAAATGTGAAATATAAGAATTAAAACACCTAATAAAAACATTAAAATCACATGATCCAAACGCGTAGACCAGGCTATTCCAATGTCGATGCATGTACAGACATGATCCAGGGGTCATAGAAAACAACTTGGAAGGTTGCTGGCTACTATTGTGAGATACTAAGAAAGCAAGACGGAGTGCTGTGGACTGGCATGTGTATAGTGTCTAAGAAGGAATCCATGAAACACACACTGTAATCAATATTTTCTTTAATTGCATAGCATTTGAGCTGTTCAAAAAGAACCAACAGATCTGAGCTCACATAATATTCTATAACCTTACAAGTATTTAGGCCTTACAAGATTTAATAATACTGTTCAATAAGATGAAGAGAGTTTGGCTCAAGTAAAATGGCATTTGGACAAAAAAGAACCACAAACAAGAGAAACTTTAAGAGTTCATAAGTACTGAAAGGTACATAGATGCAATATGAACGGAAGGA